TTAACAGTGTCATTGTTAACTTTATAAAATGATTTTAACGCACGGTATTGCTTTGAACTTTTCCAACTTGCACGATAGACTTTTCCAAAGCCGCCTGTACCAATCTCTTGAAAATTGCTAAAATGTTCGTATTCATAGTATTTGATATCTTTATCTGAAATATATTCTTCAATCCACTCATTTGATTTATTGCCAGTTTGCATATTTTTTTTTTTTTTAGCGATAAAATTTTTTTAGAGAAAAAAAAATGCGTTCGGTAGATCATGCAACGTTTATATTTCTAAGCCACTGGTCATATGAAAGATGTGTAACTGAAAAATTTTTTTCTAAATAAGTTAGCGACAATTTATATTTTAAAAAATTTGTGGTTCGCGATCAAAATCTTCATTTCGATTATTATATTTTATAAGATTCCTCTTTTGAATGTCAGGTTCTTTATTTTTTTTTTTATTTGTCTTTTTACCATTCTGTTATTTTTGGTGATTTAAGCGACTTTTCCTGATTTTTTTTTATTTTTTTTCATTTATTAATTAATTTTTTCCTTTAATAAATGTTGAATAATTTGCTATTATGATATAGTTCCAATTTTTATTTAGCCGCACATACTGCGTCACTTAAATAGATTCGATTTTATTTTATTCGATTCGATTTTTGTAGAATTGTTTCCAATCCCTACTTAATTATTATTGTTCAGATACAAATTGTCATTTCCAAATAAAATGCCTTGATTGAAATTTTCTGATAATCTGTATGGCGCAGTCAAATTTGCATATACCGACCAAATTAAAATTGCTTTCATTTTAACATTTATAGAAATTAAAAAGTATAACGAATACCGTAATCCAAATAAGGATCATTAATTTTTTTTTATAAAATATTAAAATTATTTGATAAGAACTTTATCACACTTTATCATCATACATAACTTCAGCCCATGATGAAAAACTATTATCGAATGATTATTTTTATTCATAACATAACTATCATCCTTGCTTCACCATTGGTTTCCTGCCAGAAACAAGCTCACTGAATTAATAACGGAATCAATTACTTTAGGACCCAAGGATAACAAATTTATTAGAAATTCCAAGTACCGTTAGTAAAGGATGAGTTACATTAAGAATAAATCTTGCGAATCAAGGTCTCGATTGGCTTCTATTTTTCATAAAGGCATATTTTACATATTTTACACGTGACTACAGTTACTTTCTCAAAATTATGAAACTTTCTTTGCATATAGGAAGCATCCAAAGTATGCCTGGCCGCCAATAATTATAATATTTGTCTGTCATTTAGATACATTTTTTCAACATATTTGCACTGAAAATAGTTATATTATCTTAATTTACATGCATTATATTAAGATATTATATAGTACAGTAATTAGTCTTGGAAATACTTATCCTACACTTTTGACCTTTTTCGTGACATCATCAAATTGATTGTGAATTTGGCTACACTTGAATTTGTTTATAAACATTTGTATTAAATAGTTACTTTTGGACGTACCTGTGAACATATTTACATTTGTAATCCTAGTTTCTAGGCTAACGAAGGAAGAATGTGCACGTGTTATTTTATATATTACAGCTCAAATTAACAATTACTACTTAAAAAAAATATAATTTTATGGATGTTCAAGGCTATTCATCTCATTTGATCCAACAGTTGAAATTCCAGTATAAAGAGATGTAATATACTGTGATTTAAGCTTTAATATATTGTATTACCATCCTTTAGTGCTATTTAAAGTGATTCTTTTTACAATACTACATTTTAAAAATATAGTCACCCGATTCATATTAAGTGTGACGTTCAGTAAATCTTTTTTTGTTCAATAATTCGTAAAATTATGGCTTTTTTATCTCCATTATTATTTCCTTAAGTTTAGTGACATGAACTTTTTTCGTACGCGACTCAATATTTTTACGGAATTTTGGAATTTTTATTTTCATAGGAGAACGTTCATATGATTAGCCAATTAAGTTACATCAATCGATATTTTAAATAATTATACTTGATAATTATATTAATACATTTAATACATTAATGATTCCCTTTTCTGTTCAGAATCATGTAGCATACTTAGATTAAGATTTCTTTCATTAGTTGATCAATAAGAATTATGATTGGCTAAAATCAACTTTTTTATAAGAATTGAATGAATTGAATATAATACTGATTTTGAAGATTTATAAAAAATTTAAGAATAAAGTTGTCCATTTTTATTTTAACCTTACTCACATTCTGAAAAGAGTAAAAAAATTAAATGACTTACAATCAACCATTAAGTTTTTTATTTTTTTTAAAAATATTTATTACCATTTAATACTTTAATTCTTTTAATGTGGGGGGTTATATATATTTTCTAATAAAAAATTTTTTTGAAATTAATCAAATTTTAGTGAGCAAAAATTATGATTAACGAATTAATGTAATATTTAATAAATAATAATATTATTCTTAATTCGATGCGAGCTCTATGTTTCAAATTAGATTTTCGGAATAAAATTTATTTGATTGCGGTTAATGAATAATGCATGATATTTTAGTGCCTTCTATATTTTTCCGGAGACTTGCTCTAATGATATTTTATTTTTTTTTATATTAAAAAAAATGGTTTAGAATACCAGACGGTCAAATATAATTGGTTTATAACATGTTAAGCTCCAATTACGGTTAGTTCTTATATATACAATCAAACAAAGATACATTTTTAAACTTTATTATTATACTTTTGCCTTTATTGTTATTACATATCAGACATAGGATTTTCGTCCCAATTGTTGGTGATACAAATTGGTACACAATTATCGTTAATCTATTTTAAAAGAAAATTGTAAAATATGCAAAATTAGTAATGCCATTCAGAATTTGTTGCGCAAAGCATATCGCCTTCTTAAGTGTTATGGAGTAGGGATTAAAATTTTCGTATTTCAACCAACTTTGGAAAACTTTCTTTTTTTTTTTTGATTTGATTTACCTAAAATAATTTTCACGCGTTAAAAGTGCTTTCTGATAAACTTCGACATAAATAAATTCATCTCACCGCAAAATTTAAAAAAAAAAAAAAAAGTTATAAACATAAATTTTATTTTTTGAATGAATCACACGTATCATTATCATTATCGACCTTATTATAGCAAGATTTTCAATTGAAAATTTTACGCAAAATTTATGCAAGCAATATTACACAAATCATTGTTAAAATTATTAATTCAAAATAAATTCCTCGAATTTTTTTTTTTCAACAAAAGAATCATTTTTTTCTTTTGACTAAAAAAAAATTAAATTAAATTAAATTAAAAAATGTCAACAACGATTGAAGATGACGTTACTCATGATTGGTTAGAAAGAGCGGTATCGGAAAATTATATCAAATATTATGATTATTCCGGGTTCACTAATAAGGAAGAAATCAACAGCGGATCCTTTGGGAACGTTGCTCGCGTGTATTGGAAGGATACCGATACCGTTATGGCTCTAAAGTATTCGTATAATTTAACCATTAAAGAAGTTATCAATGAAGTAAATATTACGATTAACAAATATTGGAGGTTTAGCTATGAAAATCATGTATTGGATCATATCAGTGCAGTGATATGCTTTTTGATTTTAATATCCAAAACTGTCCAAAATTGTCTAATTGCCCAAACTGATTTATAAGTCTTGTAACATGATTTTAATAATAGCTAACGATCCATTTACGTATTGTCAATTAACCTATCAAAATGCACTGTAATAGGTAAAAATGCAACGCGAAGTCGATTATCACGCGAATATCATAAAATTCTATGGTATATCAAAACAAGAAACGAATTCGATCAACCAAATGAACAAGTATTTGTTGGTCATGGAGTATGCGGATGGTGGATCATTACAATCTTATTTGAAAGAAAATTTTGATAAATTGGAATGGTGTGAAAAATACCAATTGGCCTTACAACTTGCAAATGCTGTTGCATGTATGCATGACGAAGGAATCATTCATTGCGATTTGGTACTGTAACCATTTATTTGAAATTCCTTTTTTTTAAAACAAATTAATTGCTTTAATTAATAACTTATTGCCTTATTTAGCATGCGCTAAACGTGTTGGTGCATCAGAATGCGGTAAAACTGGCGGATTTTGGTTTATCACGTAAAATCACTGATGTATCAAACAATTCAACGGATGTGCTCGGTGTTGTTCCATATATCGATCCAAAATATTTGAATAACATTAAAAATGAACATCAACATTATGTGTTAAATCCAAAGTCTGACGTTTATAGTATTGGAGTTCTTTTTTGGCAGATTTCAAGTGGTCATAGACCTTTCTACGTCAAAAATGAAGAATATGATATATGGATATTAAAAAGGGCCGACGAGAAACCATTATCAAGGATACTCCTGTTAAATATAGTGACTTATATAAAGGTAAATGTTATATACGTCATTGTTAATATGTAATGTTTTTAAAGCTAATCTTTCATTTATCAGCATGTTGGAAAGACAATCCAAGCGAACGTCCTACCATGGAAGAGGTTGTTAAATCACTTAAATCGATAATTTATAAAAAAAATAATAATAAAGAAATTGAATCTATCATTCAATCAGAAAATAAAATGGTATTACGTCCTCAATCAATTTCAATGCATAGCAATAATTCCGAGTTATTTATTAGCAGATTGATGCAAGATTACAATTTGGACAATGAATGTAATTCTCACATACTGAGTCAAGCGGAACAATATTTTTCGGAAACATTCGACGCGTCAGATGACATGAACGTTCTAATTGATAAGCTAATCGGTCTCATAATTAAAACGCAGGATGAAGGAAACAATTTCAATGAAACAATGCATTTTATTAATCAATGTATATACCTTTCCAATCACAGTTCAAGTAGTATTTTTGAGTGGTTGGAACATCGAATGGAAACGAAATATGTCTTCCTCCTGGGATTTTTTTATTTTAATAGTATAAATTTTGAGAAAAATGAAAATAAAGCATTTCAATTGTTTTCTAGAGCTTCAGAAGATAATTATCCCATCGCACAAGTATATTTAAGTATGTGTTATAAAGAAGGACTCGGAACTGAAATTGGCTGTGAATTAGCGTATAAGTGGATGCAAATGGCTGTAGAAAATGGAAACATTTGCGGACAGCTTAATCTTGGTATGTATTATGAAAACGGCGTAGGAATCGAAAAAGATTTGAATGAAGCATTTTATTGGTATCGACAAGCGGCCGATAACGGAAATTTGAGCGGATTATATAACTTGGGATTATGCCATGAATTTGGAAAAGGGGTGGAAAAGAATGAAACCAAGGCGTTTGAAATATACTTAAAATCATCCGAAAAAGGAAGCATCAATGGGAAATTTAAGCTTGGAATTTGTTATTATTTTGAAATCGGAACGAATGTTAATAAAGAAGCGGCCTTTAAAATATGTGAAGATTTAGCCGAGCAAGGATTTGATAACGCCCAGGTATTTTTAGGTTGCTTATATGATAATGGTGAAGGTATCAAGAAGGATTTAAACAAATCCATTTATTGGTATAATAAAGCGGCAGAGAATAAAAATGAAATCGCACAATATAACCTTGGTCAATGTTATAGATTAGGAATAGGTATTGAGAAAAATGAAACCAAAGCCTTTGAATATTATAAACTATCCGTCGAAAAGGAATATGTGGTAGCACAATTTCAACTCGGATATTGCTACTTTAACGGAATTGGAACTGGAATTAATAAAACGAAGGCATTTGAATTGTATAAAATAGCGGCTGAAAAAGAATATCATATAAGTCAAAATTGGCTTGGTTATTTGTATGAAAAGGGTGAAGGAACAGAAGAGGATTTAGAACAATCTATTTACTGGTATTTTAAAGCAGCAGAAAATGGAAATGAATTCGCACAATGTAATTTGGGTAATTATTATAAATTTGGAATAGGTGTTGAAAGAGATGAAGTAAAAGCTTTTAAGTATTATCAGCAATCATCTGAAAAAGAATATGTAGTTGCACAATTTCAACTTGGATATTGTTATTACAATGGAATCGGAACCGATATCAATAAGGAAGCGGCTTTTATATTATATCAAACAGCAGCAGAAAAAGAATATAATACGGGTCAAATTTGGCTTAGTTATTTATACGAAAAAGGTGAAGGAACGGAAAAGGATTTAGAAAAGGCTAATTTCTGGTATAATAAATCAGCAGGGACCGAAAACAAGTTGGCTCAATATAATTTGGGTAATTGCTATACATTTGGAATAGGCGTCGAAAAAGATGAAATGAAAGCTTTTAAATATTACAAACAGTCTGCTGACAAGGAGTTTGTAGATGCACAATTTCAACTTGGATATTGTTATGAGAATGGAATTGGTACTGAAATCAACAAAGATGAAGCATTGAGATTATATAAAATAGCAGCTGAAAAGGAACATAGTAAAAGTCAAATTATCCTTGGTTATTTTTATGAAAAAGGCGAAGGAGTAGAAAAAGATTTAGAAAAAGCTATTTACTGGTATAATAAAGCAGCAGAAAACGGAAACGAATTGGCTCAATATAATTTGGGTAATTGCTATAAATTTGGAATAGGCGTCGAAAAAGATGAAATGAAAGCTTTTAAATATTACAAACAATCTGCCGACAAGGAGTTTGTAGATGCACAATTTCAACTAGGATATTGTTATTACAATGGAATAGGAACTGACATCAATAAAGAAACAGCATTTAAATTATATAAAATAACAGCTGAAAAAGAATATAACACAGGTCAAAATTGGCTTAGTTATTTATATGAAAAGGGTGAAGGTACGGAAATGGATTTAGAGAATGCTAATTTCTGGTATAAAAAAGCGGCAGAAAATGAAAATGAAGTTGTACAAGGTAACTTTAAATCCTTAAAGCGAAATAGCTTCGTTAATATTAAATTCAGTTCGGACAAAATAAAAACCAGTTCGTTCTTAAATGGACTTCAGCAAATACAACAATATTCATGGGATTCGAGTGTATGGAAAAGTTGAAGTCATAAGATCTCTGTGTAACAGCGCAGTATTCACTTTTTTTTATTATAGTTATTAAATGATTGTTATCTTCAATATTTCCGGTATAAAATGTTTAGATAGATTATTAATAAAACACTTACTTTATAAGTTTATTTTAAAAAATTGGAACAATTAAAAGAATAAATTCCATTGTTAATTAGAAAGGAAGTGTTTATATTTATGATGGTTAAATTATAAAGATTCGGCTGAGAAATAATATTTTTTTTAGACGGAAAATATAGTTTTGTTCATTTTTTTTTTCTTAGAGCAGTTGCTGGATAAGGAATTAGAAATATAAATAAAAGGTCACGAGTTTTATAATAGTAAAAAGGCCAAACGAAGTTCAAATGAATTATATAAAGTTTACGGTAAATTTTTTAATGTTGGCGCATTAAATCGACCTGATTTCAAATTTTAATAACTTAAACAAAAGCTCGGGTCATGTGATTATATATGTATAATGTGGCTAATTTTTATAAACTAACCTTATACTAACCCTAATCCCACATCACAAGTAAACCTAATGCCACGCCACAAAATGAAACATGGTGGCGGTGTGACAGATTATTATATAATCATATGACCCGAACTTTTGTTGATGGGAAGATAATTTTAATTTAATAGAAATGTGTATATTTATTTATTTATATTTTATTTAATATTATAAAAAAAAAATATGTATGAATGCGTATATATATATCCAATTGAATAAAAGGAATGATAAAAATAAATTATGAATTTACACGATTCTAATTCTACTTGGAGAATCCTAACCAATTCAAGAAATTGTCTAAAAGAACAATTAGATCATAAGATGCAAGCGCCTGTCAAAAAAAAAAGCTCCCCAAAAAATATTTGATTGTAGAAAAAGAACAGGAAATCAAAAATTTAGATGATAAAACTAATGAAATAAAAGGAGAAATATGAAAATAATGAAATGGTAAAGTGTTGGTAAGAGTAAAATTTTTACAATAGGCAAGTAGTTTTGCAAGTTATATAAATATATATACCTATATACATATTTTATAAATTCAACGGGGGGGATTTACAGTATATTGATGTAAAAGACAGTAAAGAAAAAGGAGGAAAAAAAGAGGAAAAAAGAGGAAAATGAAAATGAAAAAGAATAAGAAAAGAAATATGTAAATATACATTAAACAGTTATTAGTTATATATATAACTTTGAACCGAAGGAAAAAAAGTTGTAAACAAAAATAAACAATCATTCACAAAAAAAATTTGTCAAAAGTAAAAATATTAATCGTATACTTTCGTATCACATCTTAAATCCCAATTTTGAGGCAAACGTATCCAAATGGATGATTTGGCAGGATGATCTCCATTGTCTCGAAAGCTGTGTAAAGTTTTTATTCAATTGACGTTTCCAACTAATAATTTCGACTTTCCAACCACGTTCCAAAGCGTTTTTTATACATTTGTAAAAGCCTCCTTCGTTATATTCAGCATCATTTCCGTCACCACTAGCGAGGACCAAAGTAGATGGCACTTGGGTCTCTAGCAAAATTTTATAGATCTTGAGTTGGAGAACTTCATCGACACATTGTTCTCTTTGGTTAATACGTTGTAAAACTGAACATTCATAACCGGCTTTTTCCGCTTGTTTGAGTGGTTGAGACAATGGTTTAGAAGCTGCTAAACATTTACGTTTGACATTTCTTCCCTTTTCTATGATTTTGAAAAGAGCACCATAATCTAACATGGGTATCTTTTTAACCCTTGGATTGCAATTTCTCAATCTAGATTGACAATATGTACTGAATCCAACTAGAATATTGGAATTATCAATGAAAACGTAAATAGAGTCATCAAATTTCTGGGGAGAAATCAAATCGTTTGAACGGGAAGTTCCAGCAAAGCCGAGCGTTGAATTGGTTGCAAACAAGGCTGCTTCATTATATAGATTCTTACTTGTAGGAATATCGTAAAATTCAACCTTTTTAAAGTCCTCATTGAGCTATTAAAAAATAAAATAAAATGAAATAGTTTAAAGAAATTTAGCATTTTCGCCCATTGAAATGTTAATGTCATCGCGAAAAAAAAAAAATTAGTATCTCACCTTTCCAACATGCGCCTCGGGTTTTTTATCGATTTTCTTCGTTGATGTCCTTTCCTCATAAATTGTCGCAATACTTTCAACTTCCTTCATTGGTGATGATGTTGATGATGGTTGCACTTGCTGTTCAGGGGCCACTAACTCCCCATAAAAGTAATCGGAATCATATTCGTCTTCAGTGCGATCGGAATAATATTCAGAATCAAAGGAAGAATCATTTTCGGAATAATATAGATTATATTCGGTAGGAGGTGATTGTGGAGGTTGTGATGCTTTTAACGAAAATTCTTTGATATATGCAGTTATTGTTTCTAGTGATTGAAAAAAATCATCTGTTGATTGAGTAGATAAAGCTGGTAGAACCGGAATACTTTTCGATGAATGGTTCATATTTATTTGCTTTACCTTTACTACAAAGTATATATATTTTTTATCTTATAACCTAACAAAAAAAAACTCTCAAAACTAAATAGAAATAACTCTCGATATACCGAAGTACCGCTAACTTAAATAATGGACTTTGGTTTTCGGTATATCAATAAGGGTATTGCGAAATATGAGGAGACCAGTGGTTTTTTACTTTTTTAAAAATTTGACTTCGGTATATCGAGAGTATAGAAAGGTTGACTTTTAAAACGAGCAAGTTTGGTCAACATTCCTTTAACTACATATTTTGTACGACAAAAAACGAAATGGGCATTCACATTTTCTAATTGGCGTAAGCATATGACCTTATTGCCGCCAAAAGATAAAATCATTTACAAAAAGGGCATAAAAATTTGTAACGTGAAATTACAATGATTTCAACCAATCAATTTATTAAAGTATTTATATATATAATATATTGTATTATTTTATTACTAAAAATGCTAAATAAATTCCAAGCCAAAGATTCTGATCTTTACCATTTTCTTTTATTTTGTAAATAATTTAAATCATTTTGAATTTCTCCTATACTAGTTTCAATTTTAAATGAATAATCAAAAAAACAAAAAAGCTTTTTTTTATAGGTCAAATTTTCTTAACTAACCAATTATATTTATATTTTAAAAGTTCTTAAATATTAAATTTACATAAACATTCTGCATCCTTAACCTTAACGCTCTAACAACGTTTAGAAATGTTATTATTCCATCCAGAATTTATTATGACGAGTATTGACGTATAAAGTTTCCTTAAGGATTTGATTTTTTTCTCATTGATAATCTGATCAAAATGAACCAAACGATACTTTTCTAATTCCTAATCAATAACTATAACGTCATCATCGCTATTAGAACTATTAGTAGAACTGGTAGTATCACTATCATCAACAACTAAATTCTCGCCATCATCGGCACCAATAACCCATTCAATAATACCTCCTTCCTTTCTCCTCCTTCTCTTCCCCCCACCTTTGTTATCTTGAACCCATTTTTCCACCATGCTAAGGAATACCCATCCTTCACTTGTTTTCTTGTTGGCGAAGATTTCTATACTCCTAGGGTAAAGCATTTCATCGGTTGTAATCACTATTGCCTTACATCTTGCTCGACTTATCGCTACATTCCATCTATTTCTATCAAATAAAAATTCGGATTCTTTTGATATTTCATTTAAATCCAAGAATCCAAAACATGATATTACTATATCCGCTTCTTGCCCTTGCATTTTTTCTACGGTATTAATTTGCAAACTGATATCTTGATTATTCATATATCTGACCAGTCGTGATTGAATTGCAAATCGTTGCCTATGATGTGGCGTAACTATAAACAATGATGCTTTGGTCTTCGTTCGCGATTCTTTTACAGATTCGAAATATGCCGATGTTATTTTTGCTACAACATCTGCTTCATTTTGCAAAAATTGACTTGATAAGAGACCAGAACCTGAAATTCTTGACCCATCTCCTCTTTTGATATTACTAGCCATGGAAAGTTTTACTAACGTAATTGCTGAATCAGGTGATAAAATTTTTTGTATTAGAGGATCCTCGATATGCGACAACTTTGGGTCTTCAAAGTTGAGTTTTTGATTTGGATTTTTTGAAATATAATCATCGCCGTAAATCCTTTGGAAGAAACAATTCAATTCTTTATTCTGAACATAAATAAAAAGACGAAATTTCAAACATTAATGAATCGTGCATAAATATGTCTAAAAAATATATATGTATTTATACGAACCATTCTCCAATTATCTCTGAGTTGAATTGTTAGAGGCCCAAAATCATGCTTTTGTCCCTTTTTCAAAAAGAAATCTTCCTCATGAAAAACGGAACCATCTTCCCTACGCATCAAACATTGTTGAACTGATCCAAATATAAGTGGGTGATCAGGCGGAAATATAGGATAAGTATTTTGAATAATAGGACCAAGTTGCTATAAATTAATTAAAATTATTAGAAGCCGATAGAAAGAACTTCGATACAAAAATTTTCACGTTCATTTTACCATATGATCCCCAGCAACAACTAATCTTCCAGATTTATAGTTTAAACATTCAATTGCAAGGCTAGCATCTGAAACCAATAACTAGTAAATAAAATAAATAAAATTATGCTCGGATAATAAATAATAATTTATGATGCAAATTTTTCACTTGCCTGAGAACCTTCATCAACGATCATAATATCACATCCAGCCCAACCCGATCCCCATTCCCTCCTTACTTTATACCAATCCCAAACTGTACCACCAATTACGACAGGTTTTTCAATTATTCCAATTTTATTCCCTGCAAGTTTTTTAGGTAAGGTTTCTGCTTTACATTCTTCCATGTTGTTATTCAAGGGCTGCTTTTTCAGGTCTTTGACTAAACGAATGATTTTAAAATCATCCGTTTTATGGCGTTGCATTTGTACGCTTGAAATCCTCTCTAATAAGTTATCGATAGCAGCTCTCGTAAAAGCTGTTACGCCGATTATGTAATTCGTGTTGGTACCAGTTGGCTTAGGCTTAACAGTACTTAAGTACCAAGTGATAAACAATGCCAGAAAATGTGTTTTTCCGGAACCCTAATAAATGATCGATAAAGTTTATTAAAATTATAGTAGTTTTTTATTTTTATTTAAAAAAAAAGGATGCTGATTATAATTACAGGTGGTCCCCAAACAATTTGAAGTCTCTTCTCTAATAATTCTGCCGAGATCTCTTTTTGGGACGGAGACATCGAAAAGGCATCTCGTAGCTTTAAAGCGGTAGCTTTGATTTCCTTAAATTGCTCCACTTCCTCGGTTAGAGAACGAGAACCCCACGCATTTGGATTTTTCAAGAGATCCTATATTCAATTTAATCAAGACAATTAAATCCCAGAAAAAAATTTTTTATTTATATCAATCAAATATTTAAAATTTAATAAGATATCAACCAAAAATGCTGATTTATCGTCGTTTCTTTCATCAATCTCAGTCAGCATCGTCAACACCTTATCAAGATTAAAATCGAGGTAACGTTTATATAGGCGATATTCATTAACCGAATCACCGGTTAATTTCTTTTTAAAGACTCCTTTCAACCAAATCTCTCGTTTTTGAGGATCACTATTGTTTATATCATAAAGACATACGACCGATAAGGGATAACCAAAAAATTTATTCCGGTATTTCATATCCGGAAATCGGATTGCTTCTAAAACACCCTATTTTGAAAAGATGATGATTATTGAAATTTTTCACAATAAAGCACGTAACAAGACATATATTACCTCCGGATTATCCTCGACAAGAATAAATTCTTTAAGCGCATTATATTCCAAGACATTGCCTTCTCTTCCACGACTTAAAATATTAAACTTCGCAATCCATTCTTGACCTTCCTTTTTAGTAAATTTTTCAAATTGAATTCGAATTCCATATACGGCTTCACCTTGTATAAAATCTTTTATTCTTGCAGATCTGATCTTAGCACAATCAGTCACAGCTTCAAATTGTTTAAAAAAATGAATCTTTCCCAAATAATGATGTTTAAAAGCTTTTATTTCGGTAAAGGTAAAAACTTGTGGCGTAAATAATAATTTAGAAGAGATATCTTCGGTTGATTCCTTAAGAAGCTCATAATAAGCCTTTATTACTGCACATCCAAAATCAACTCTTAATAATTGTGCTTCACTCGTTCGTGATACCGGACTTCTCGCCGAAACCCATAAAGCATAAATATCTTCTAAATCAATATCTTCAATATGTTGTTCTAAGGAATCCAATAATTCTTGATCATGTAATTTTGGTTTCACCAGTTGTTGCCAAATATCAACAAAGCGATAAAATCCGGGTACGTGAATTGCAACATTCTCCCTTATCGATTGTTCCAAAATAATCAATCTAGGAAACTCTCGCCATTCATCTGGAAGTTCTGTGACATCCCCATCACCACCAATATTTCCGGATCCTAATAACAACGAAGAATCCTCAAATAAATTAAACAAACATCTTGTAGCTGTATGTTGAACAGCACTTGAAATCGTATCAGGATCCATAGATATGATCTCTAGCAAAGCATCTTGAATGGTCCTTTTTTCTTGTTCGGCATAGACAAAAACACATGCTCTTGATTTAACCCTTGATAGATATTCAAAAGACTTTTCCAATATAGTTACAAACTTATCCATTAGAATAATGAAAGTTTTAGTAGATTCATCATTCTTTGGAATTGCTTCGGCACGTCTGAAATTCTGTAATATTCTTCCATCACTCGTGTAAAGACATACACCCCATCCAAAGGGACGCGATAAGAATGGGTCCGTAGACATTGAAATTAACAAATTATGATCGGTTTTTTGAGGAAAATTCGCTGATGCAACCCCAATGAACTTTGTAAAATTTAAGAAAAGCTATTAGCAAAAATTTATGGTTACTTTAATGTAAAAGCTTTCGTACCTGAGCCTGCTTGGTTTCCAAGGCTTTCAAATATGGCGAACTATTTAATCTACTATCATATTTAACGATTTGTTTAATTCGTGTATCTACAACTATTTTACTTTCTTTGGGCTTTTTTTCATCAAGTTTTAAATTATCAAAATAATCTGCCAAGTCCTCAATATCAACATCTTCGTCATTAATATTCGATGATGAAGGACCTTCTGTAGCATCCATTTCATCTCCTCCTGATTTCCAATCTTGTATAAAAGTTTTCAAGTCTTCGGCTTTCTCAAGTGACAAATAGGGAATCATTGCAATAGAACCATCAGCGTCTTTTCTACAAACATTTACAAATTCACAAGTGATGCATCTTGAATTGTAATGCCAAGGTACTTTTTGTGCTGTGATAATTCGAGGCAATTCATCACGAAAGAATCTTTCTATCTTTGGAAGTAGAAAGTCCATACGAAATGTTTGTAATTGGAAGGGACCTTGCGTGGATGGAAGATAAATTCCACCTGAACGTGAAATAGAAAGACCACGAATCTTTTTAACCACAAATTCAAGAAGGTATGCATACGAAGCCACTTGAAACTAAAATTAATTAATGAAGTTATTATTAAAATGTAGTTAAATTTTTTATACATTCTTTTTTTTCATACCTGATGAGGAACGCGTGCACTTTTTGAAGCTTTCGCATCGTAAACCATCAATTTCTTCTCGCCATCTTCATCTTTAACTTCAATGAAATCTGGTATAAAAGCCTTTAATTTCACAATATCTTTTATACCCATTGCATCATAAAATCCTTTAGGTACATCAAACTTCATTTGATACAACATTTGACCGACTTTAACATTTCTCAAAACATTTTTTGTATCAGCCGGTGACATATGTTGACAATCGATGACCTCATATAATTCATTTAATTTACGTTTAATCTCGGATTCAAATTCCATTCCACGATGTCTTAACGCATCACGTAATGTAGAATCATCCATTTTAGGAGTATATTTTTTGATGTCCTTATCTTGAGCCGATTTCTGTCTTATATAATCTTTATCCCACATAAGTCGTAATAATTTGTCGCAATTATATTGATAATACTTTGATAAATCGGAAATCGCCATTGAAGTGGTTATTTCTTGAGAGGTTTGAGAAGCCTTACTAGAACTAGACTTCTTTGTCTTTTTTGTCTAAAAAAGTAACACATTATTGATCAAAAAAATTAAAAATCGACACTTTACATATTACAAAATAATTAGAAATTTTCCAACCTCAGACATTTTTATACAGACTTCGTTTGCGAAAACAAAAAGGTCAAAAAGGTTGTGATAACTGATTTAATGTTTTTGTTGATTAAATAAATATATAATTCAGCCATCAAAAACTTTTGCCCATTTTTTCCATTTCCATTTTTGTATTACTTAAATTTATTCCGATCATCACACGATCAGATCACATGGCTTAATTTTCGATATCCTTTTTTTGAATAACTGTGGTAACACAAACCCTGGATTATAAAAAAGAGATTTCTCGATTTCTTTTGATCAGCAAATTCTCTTTAGTAATGGTACACAATAATAATTTTTCAAATATGTCCCGGTCTATTTTTAGGCGAAATACAAGCTGTATTTATCAAAGACGCATGATGCAACCAATGACTTGGAGAAGCATTCTCAATAAACAACAGTATAATCAAAATTTTGCTTCCGCAGCAAATTACGGAATTGAATCGAATTCAAAATTCGTTGATGAACAACCACCAATTCAAACTAGGTAAGCACTTCCATCTTTAGTTCAATGATTAAAATGGTAAAATATCATTACGAATTTTTTTATTTAAAAGTACACCGCCACCTACACCACCTACACCACCTAATCCAGTACCATCAGAAATTCTCGGAGCCTCTTTACCATTTGTGAATCAATATGGATGGACGATTGATACATTAGCACAAGGAGCGAAAGCATCAGGATATCCATATGTTAGTCATGGATTATTTCCTAGAGGTGGAGCGGAATTAATCGACTATTTTTTGGATGATTGTAGAAGAAAAATGACACATGAAATTTTCGATAAGATGGATAAGTAAGTTAATTAATATTCTCAAAGGATGAAGACGGATCCTATTAATTAAATTTTTTATACAATTTTTTAGTTTAAAGGTTCATCAAAAAATTCGATTTGCGTGTGTAACTCGACTTAATTATACAAAGCCATACATAAAAAGATGGCCTGAGGTATTTTAATTATAAATCACTTTTGAATTATAATAATGAAATCATTTCTCATAATTTTCTTGTCATATATTATGAAACAAGGCACTTGCTATTATGGCACAACCAAATAATGTTATAAGGTCGGTTGAACATTTAGCGAGGTTAGTTGATGATATGTGGTATCTTGCGGGAGATAAAAGTGCTGATGTAAGCTAATTTTTAACTTTGATTTAATGATACTGGAATTTATTTTTTAATATAAATCATTTTATCTTATTTAGATGAATTGGTATTCTAAACGAGGAATCCTTGCTGCTATTTATTCATCTACAGGTAAATTCTTATTATCGTGAAAAAATCTCCCAAAAATTATCTCTCATTCATTATTTATTATTGAGCTTAGTTTTTAAAATGATTTATTTATTATGACAGAATTGTATATGGTACAAGATACCTCACCGGATTTCATAGGAACTTTTCAGTTTTTAGATCGAAGACTGAAGGATAGTGCTACATTTGGAAGAATAGTTGGCGATGTTAATAATTATGTTAATGTTGCTGTTAGATCTGCTATTGGAATTCTATCCTCGGTAAGTCTTATGCTGATTTGATTTTGATAGATTTCTTGAAATAACTAAACGATTACTATTTTTGTAGAAAGGGATAGGCAAATTTTAGATATATAAAGGAATTTGATTCACTTGAAAAGCAAATAAATAAAATAAAAAATCACAACAAACAAATAAAATTGTATTAATAGGTATTATCATCTCCAAATGAATCATTCTAATAAATAAATTTTTTGATATATGAATTTCGCCTTGCTTATACTAAAACATATTCAACCATTACCATACGGTTGTTTTGATAAAAATGATGGTGATACCTTTCTCACTAGATGTCATTTTGTAAATGTTAAATGGTTATTGTAAAAATGAATTTGAAAATGGATAAACAACTTGCTCCGAAAAACTATCAATATATATAGCATATATAACATTTTTTAAAAAAAAAAATTTTTTTTTCAATTAAAAATGGATTATCGTTCAATTTTACGAATCATCTCCTTGAATCTTTTATTTTCCTTAATTAATAAATTCGTGGTCGCAACATATTTCGTTACTACCCCGATCCTTATTGATAAGAAGATATACGCAATAGGAGAAACTTTAGCAAAAAGATTTATTAGCATTGATGTATCAACACTCTCGAATTTTACAAGTACACTCGAATACATATCTTTAAGCAGGTCGGAAATTAATAGCATATTAAATCCGAGAAGTGCAGGATGGAAGGACTTTATCATCATTTATGGAACAAAAGATTATTTAGAAGACCCGTATATACTGAAATATAATGTAACGAGTCAAGCCTTGACTAAAGATGTGAGCGTGGGACCAAAATTCAATGCCCTTATAGAAGAACCATTCATTGGACCTGATGATAAAGGGAACATTTATATATATAATGAAAATAATATTTTTTATATCTTTAATTTAGAAACATTCAAATGGGATACAAAAGAAACAAAGATCGATAAAATCTTTCCGGATAAAGTTCTTATAATGTATAAACGATATACGGCTACAATATTGCCTAATGGTATCATCGTATTTCTTGGAGGTGTATTATCATTTAAACCTGTTCCCATGAATAAAATCATTCTTTATGATACGATAAATGGAAGTTGGTCGACGATAGATGTCGATGGTGACTTTGTTGGATCACGAGAATTACATTCGGCATGTTTAACTTCTGATGGACGCATAATTGTTTATGGCGGAAAACTTGAATTTCAATCTGTTGAACCTGATTTGGCCGTGTTGGATACTTCCGTTACTCCTTATAAATGGACTGTTCCTTATGTTATAAATCCAATTGGCCAAATAATTCAACATATAACCGTCATGGTCGATGAATTCATGGTTTTATATTTTGGTAAATAAACAAAAATTAAAATTAAAAATTAAAATAATTAATTAACTTTTATATTTTTTTTATTTTTTTTTTTTTTTTAAAAAAAAAAAATCTTAGGTAATAATATAACTACTACAGGAACAACAACATCTAATCAAAATATATTCATGTTAGACACAAGAAATAAATCAGTATATACATGGTATAATATGGAACTCGTAAAGAAAGGTAAAAAAGAGATTTATAAATAATAATCTTCCTTCTTCTTTCATCTTTATCTAATTAAATTCTTCGAATCTATAGATGGTACGAATGGTAAAGTAAAGTTAACAACGATATGGATTATATTTATTGTTGCATCGAGTTTAGTGGTATCTGCCTTAATTGTATTTTTTGTATATAAATGTTGTAAAATTAAACATAAAAACAGAAGTACAACATTTCTGAGTTAAAAAAGGACTAATAATTAATATAATTAATTTTCTTAAAAAGGTTCACCTAGTATTAACTAAAGGGCAAGAAAATTTTTTTTCCATACTGTGATATTATTAATGCATAATAAAAAACTATTATCGAAGATTTCTCTCGTTAAAAATTCCTTATACTCGTTATAACGTTTTTCAAATCTAATGATATAAACCTCAATGAAATCCGGGCCTGTATCCATCGGTTTAATAACATTTATTGGTAACATTAACGTCCGTCCCTATTCATGAAGTTAGATAAACCATAAAATCGGGAATAATATGTAAAAAAAGAATAATTGATCATATTAAATTAACATTTTTAAAAACATTTTGATACTTTCGATTAAATAATTAAAAGAAATGTTTTTTGATTTTTAAATGTTTCTCTTTTAAAATACTCTAAATTTTTATACTCAAGAAACGTATAATCGAGTATTTATTGCATAAATTGGAGAATTGTAAAACCATTCACTACGAAAACGCGTTAAATTTACAAGCTATAATGAATGTAATAGTATTGATCTTTAAATGTTGTAAATATATATAAAAGTTATATAATTTTGTTTTCTTTGCATTTATTAATAAATATATTACTTTTTTTTTTTGATCTTGAACACAAAATAAAAGTCAAAAATATTTATTTACGGAATTAACTCTTCCAGGCGTAATAAGGTATTTTTATTGATTATTTTAAAAATTAATATAAAAATTTTTTAACCAACCTTATAAATTCGATTTAATAAATTCAAGAAATTTTTAATACATATAAAATTTAGAAAATAAAGCACTAGTTAAATTTATTCTCAGGAAAAATCTAAAACCAAAAGAAACTCTTTCCGAATTCAGATACCTTTTGTAAAAATGTATTATATTACATCATAAATACATAGTTGATTATAGTTATCATAATTAAAAATGTATCATAAATTGAACAATAACATAAGTGCAGTAGTGGAGGTAAATTAATTAATCTAACTGATAATTTAATATACTTAAAAAAAATATACATATCTTTTTTATTTTTAACGAATCAATAAATTAGTTTGTCATTGTTCGATATTAAAGGAATTGATCGACATTCCTTTTTTGATGATCTTGCCATTTATAATTTAACTTAAATGAAATATATTTTTTTTCGGAGAAATAATCGTCATAACGATCCGATCAAAATAATAATAATAATAATAATATATCTTTTGTATATTTTTGCCCATCTGACCTCCTTTATGAAAGTGATTATATCATTGCGAATAATGAAAATTTATCCTGTGACTCGGGAATTATGGAATCCAGCTATACTACACAAACTACAATCTTTAAATAATCTGGAAGTGATGGAATTGATGGAATCGATGCAAAGACTTTTAATATTAATTATTATATTACTGTTGCGACAAATTATCAAATTTTTTTATTAACTTTTTATTAAATTGTTCACATTTTTTAAGGCAGACAGATTTTCTTTGAAAATCAATGAAATTTTCGAAAGATTGAAAGATTGTGGTATGCTTTGATGATGTAAAACTTTAAAAGAAAATATATACCATATAATGAGCAAAAAAAATTTTCTTTTTGATAAGCAGTTATTATATTTATCTCATTTTATTAATAAAATTTATACCCATTGCTTCGGTTGAAAATGGATATAGGATAACCCACGAGACGTCTATGTTACTTCAAATATCTCTTCGACGAAAAGAATTGTACTTTAGATGATTTCTGGGCAAACAATTCATCCCGTTGTATTAGAATCAATTCAATTAACGCAATAAAAGAAAGCATTTTGTTGGATTATCGTCGCTCATTAAATTTATTAATCTAATTACATAAAGCTCGTTACAATCCCATAGCATATTTCATGATCTCCGCCTAATAAATAACAAAATAAATAAGAAACTTCATAAAGATTACATTGAGCACTCGTACTAATATAAACAAAAATTTACCTTTACAGGTTCCAAATTATTTAAAGTTTTTAAGCCTAAAGTTCTAACTAACACAGTAGGAGTAAAATCTGTACAAAATAATTTATGTAACTTGTCTACGACTCCAAGCATCACAAGATTCGATAAGTATCTCTCTGACGAATATTCTCTTAATAAATTTACGTCTCCTGTATTAAATGATTCAAATTTGTTAAACTTTTTTTTTTTAAAAAAAAAAAATAGATACACACACAATTTACCTATGTCTTGTCCATTCGAAATTCCTCGTTCAATGACTTTTAATAAATGTTGCACATCTGCCAGTCCTTGATTTAATCCTTGTCCAGCTAACGGATGTATTGTATGAGCTGCATCACTTTTTTTTTTAAAAAAAAAAAGTTCCTATTAAATTGAATAAAAAAATATATATATCCCATCACAACATCAATCTAAAAACTAACCCAACTAAAACAATTCTTTCTTTAATATAACTTTCGGCATTTCTCATTCTTAATGGAAATCCAGCACGACTTTTGTCTTGCACACCTAAAACTAAAGGAGGAAATGCTTCTTTGGGATCGGAATTTTTTGATTGAACACTTTTTCTCCATTCGAAATCGCTTTGAAGGTCTACCGATCCATTACTTCCTAATTGTGAATAAAAGTATTCTAAATCTGCTACACGCATTTGAAATGCTGCATTAACTAAGCATGCGAAATCTTTTGATGATATTGATTTGATTTTTGTTGCAAGATTGGGTGTAGTTGACCATACAATTGAAGAATATCCATTTTGGAGCTATATCATTATTATTTTTTTAGAATAGAAAATATTAAAATAAATATTATATATATAAATAACGAGAAGCGGGATAATCTTTTTCCTAACCGGTAGCATTGCAATTGGTCCAGTTGGTAAAAATCTTTGCCATGCAGTCTTATTTTCGATATTTGGATCAACATGTAAGGTAGCAACTACAGCATGTGAATTATAATCCCAACCTAACGATTCAATATTAGCAAAGGATCGTACAGGCGAATTAAAACCATCAGCTCCAACCTAGATTATAAACTTAATTTAAATATGACAATAACAATGATGATAATGATGATAATACGAATAATTCTGTATTACCAACAATCTAGCCTTCAATTTTTTTCCATCACTTAATTCAACACAAGGCCAATCAGATAGATCGAATTGTTCACCTTCACTTTCCTTATCAAAAGTTATGTCCTGTACTTTTGTATTATCAAGAATATCAATGATACTTTTATCTTTATCAAGCGTTTTAAGAATTGCATGTTGAATATTATAGTTTTCCAATATCCATGCTAAAGGACTTTTATCACTTTCGTTATTATATTGAATCCTCGCATCACTTATTCCATCCCAGACTTGCATATCACTAAACGGTTTTATTCTTCCTTCGTTAATATTTTGCCAAACCCCTATATCTAAATAATCGAGCAATCAAATTATTATTTAACCCTTTTTAAAAAAAAAATTGTTCATGATAGATACCTTTGAAAAATTGAACGGAACGTGGTGTTAAAGAACTAACACGATTTGAAAATTCTCCTTGTAGAGGGTTCCATTCTCTTATATTTGATATGTTACTAGATTCGATTAATGCAATACGTTTTTGCAATTTAGTTATGTTTGAAGTTACCAAAGCACATGCTAACGCACTTCCTGCTATACCTCCTCCGACTATTACAATATCATAAATATCTTCTAATTTTGATGTAGTGGATACTGTTGCTAGAAACCTTTTATTCAAATTCGTAGAAAATTTCTGAAATAATGTTCGATTTGTTAAAAATTTCACAGACATTTTTTTTTTTAAAAAAAAAAAGTTATCAATCACATGGATGTGTTAACAAATTTAAGTTTGTAGATCCGTCATTATTTCTAGGCCCCTTTTGGTCACTAAAATAAAACCATATGACCGCCGATTAATCGATCGTTTCAACCAGGCCAGCACTATAAAAATTGGCTCACTTTTTTTTTTTTTTTGTATTTTCACATGAATTTTTCCCAACGTATTTAAATTGTTTTAAAAAAAACCCCCCCTCCCAAATAAATATATTTCTTATTAGCTTACTTATAACCTAAAACTTTAAATACCTTTCTTAAAAGCTTATCATTACCGTTCAGGTAATATTCATTGGATGTATTGAATTTCAAATCGTATGTGTAACATATTAAAATGACATTCATTTATAAACATCGGGGTCATGCAAAACAGTTTTCAACACTTTGCGTTATCTATTGTAGATAATTTTTTTTTTAAAAAAAAAATGAATAGGATAGCAAACACCTTTACCTGGGAAATCGGAAGTTTTCAAGAATACGTAAGGAATATTTCTCATGGAAGTTCCATTTACAGTCAAAAATTTTGGATACCAAAGTTCCCTTTGGATAAGTTTCAAAATGAAAACGATATCAAGAATCCAACATTATGGCAATTGCGTTTATTTCCGAATGGGGACAATTCGATTGAATCCATAAATCACATCTCATTATTCTTAAAAGCTATACAAACTCCATATGAGAAGTTAAACGAAATTAACGGTAGAAATCAAAAATATATAGTAATCATTGGAAGAACTTTAATAAATGAAAATAAAAAAATCCTTATCAAGAATACTTCCATATCCACGAATTATTTCGTCTTTAATAATGTTAGTAGTGGATGGGGTCATAGAAAGTTTGTCGAATTAAATTCAATATTTCCAGATGGTAACAAATCTCAAGATGTAGATTTATTTGTTCAAATTACATTTTTTAATGATAATGATATAACAAAAGAAGAAGGTTTACTCGATATCAATAAACCTATGGATTACTTTGAAAATGAGTCCTTCTCAGATATTGAATTTACTTTTGAATGTGGATCAAAGATTAGGGCACATCGTGTAATACTTGCGTTTAATTCGGAATACTTTAAGAATATGTTAAATGGTGGATGGAAAGAACAAGATATGGACGTTATACCGATTAAAGAAACGAGTTATGAAACGTTTAGAGCAATTCTTTATTTCGTTTATACAGGAAAATTATTAAATTTAGATAATTTTGAGACTCAATGTGAACTTTTTAAAAGATCTGATATGATGTTGCTGGGAAATTTGAAAAAATTGGTCGTAAAGAAAATGATTGAATTTATTAATGAAGATAATTGGGATGTATTTTTACTGCTTGGATCCAAGGATTACATATTAAAATTTACTGGGTTGGAATATGCCGCTCATCATTGGGAAATGGTTAAAACAAGCGAAGGAATGCTACGATTATATTCAAATTATGATATTAATGAAATGGAAGAATTGATCTTGTTTGTAAATAAAAGGAAGGAAATTGTAGACTTTGGATTTTAATTTTTTTAAAAAGAAATTTTGGTGTTTAATAATAAAAAAAAAAAAAACTAGAAGCTTAACTTTAGAAATTTCCGATATGATAATATAGAATAAATTTGTCATTTGTTAATAATTTTGCTCAAAAATATAAGTATTTGTTTGTATCAGCTATTGCAGAAAATTATCGAGAACTTTTGAACACCCTTTTCTAAAATTCGCGTTTGCTTTGATCATTCTCTCACGAGGGGAAGGTTCTTCGATAACCTCGTGTTTCTCATTCATTTATAATGCCCTTTCATATATTGGGTTGAATAAATTATTGTAATTTAAAATTTGCAAAAAAAAAAATTTTACCTGTTCTTTTTGATCTTTGAAGAATAACGAATTAGTATTTGTAATTTTCATAATCTAACTAAAATATCCAACAATTCAATAGTTTAAAGAAAACGCGTAAAAATCGATAATAAGCATCTTGATTTTGATCAATTTTTTATTAAAAAAAAACCAACCGGTTTACAAACCTAATTCGGGCCAGAACAATAAATTTGACCCGAATTGGCGACATAAATCGGGCCGGAACTACGTTCCCTCCATAAAAATTAAAACACGACACGCGCTACATGACACGTCGCATAAAATGACTACTTCGCGAATGGAAAAAAATGCTTCAAAATCATAAATTTTTGAAATTTTTGGCTGGTGACTTTACTAATTAAATATACATGTCCCTTTAGGACAATGAAATCCTCACTTGTAATTTTAAATCATGATACCTCATCGTTTCTGTTGTTGGAATTAATTGTTGGATTAAAAAGTCAATTGATCCACCAATAATACGTGGGATTTTAATGATTTAACCCACTTTAGATACGTAATCAAATAAAGTCATTGTCACCAAATTTGGAAACAATCGATTTACAAGGTATTATTTCCGAATTTGAAAACAATACCTTATGAAATGCGAAGGGATCAAAAGGATTGTTCATTGTAAAATGCATTGAAAACGTTTTTGTCAAATTTTTTTTTATCATCATTTATTCTGTTTCATTATATCATAGTACTTGACGTTACATTACACAACTATGATAATAGACTTTTTACACAACATTTTGTTGGCGTTTTGTGAAGTGACACATCTTGATCATTTGATATTAATTGCTTGATATCACTGCATTAATCATCACCTATAAATAATTATTTATAATGTGATTTTGAGGTGACAAATAGAGCGGATTGGCGCTTACACATAAAATGAATTATCAGAATTTGGTAACTCTTTTCAATGTTACTCAATTTGTCAAACAAAAAAGCTCAGCCTGAATAACAAATTAGTAATTTGATTTTCGAAATAGCGTGATGCGCACATATTTAAAATAATTATTCAAATAGCGTGATTACCCACACGTATAAAATGTTTCCTTTTTCCTTTTCCTTTTTTTTCAAAAAAAAAAAAAATAATAATAAATTAATTTTCCTCCCTTTTTTTTTTTTCCTACAAAAAGTTTTGCAAAAAAACTTTTTTTTTTTTTTTTTCACGAACAAAAAGTCTTGCAAAACTGAAGAGAACAAAAGAGTATAAGCAAGCAAAGACCACCTCTATTAAAAAAACCAACCTTTATTAACAAATAAAAATATTTCGAGATAGAGACATTGTAATTATTTTTCCTTTTTTTTTTTAAAAAAAAAAAAAAAATATCTGAAAAATGCAAATGTTTATTGTCACATCCTTTTAAACATGCCACTTCGACTCATATCTAAAAATAAAAACAAACGACACAATACCCCCTTCCAAAACCCATACAAATGCTGCGCCTCATTATGAAATCCTGTTTGTTGGGAACTTTTTTTTAGTTGGATTTTTTGCGTTGGGTATTTTTGTATTTGATAATAGTTGATTCGGATAATTGGTTCACTCTCGAATACATTTTTTATTTAAATTAATATTATTTCATTGTTATAATGATATAATGATGGAAACAAAGTTAAGGAACGAAAATCCCTTTTCTTTATACTTATAATTCATTACCCCCAATGTCCAATTTGAATTATTGGCACAAATGCACCTTTTTTTAATTTATATGATATTGTCCAATTTGCTTTATTGGCACAAATTCTTGTAATTTCTTTTATATGTAAGGTTTAGGTTTTATAATTTTTTTTAAGTTCCAATTTGAATTATTGGCACAATCCTCGTGTCCTTTTTTCATTTTATTTTCCAATTTGAATTATTGGCACAATTCAAGTTGTTTTTAATTAGACAAATCGTCTAGTAGGAGTTAGGCCGTAGTGTAGTTGTAGATTACCCGAAATAGTCCCTCCTTTGATGTAATTCCCTTTGTATGGAAAATTGTTCAAGGATTTCGTGAAAATTTATTACAGGAAATTAACCCTGAGAGTTTTTCAAGTTATCGAAACTTGTGGTGGACAAGGGAGAATTTAGCGAAAAAGCAAAGTGGAAAGAAGTCCGACTTGAAAAACTCGCAGGGTTGGTTTCTTTGTCTTAAAAAAATAAAAAAAAAATTTTAAAATTACAATCTATTTGACCATTGAAAACTATTAAATTAATTGCAATTGCTTTGTTGTGTACATGTAAATTATAAAATCAATTTGTAAATTTGCAACTCGTAAAATTTTTTTTTTTTAAAAAAAAAATAATTATTGAAATTTCTTCCCCGCAGTAATCAGGACACCGGGATGCATAATATAAAATTTTCAACTAATACACAATGATTATTGCGATTATTTCTTTATCCCCATATTAATACTAACATTATTATTTTTTTGGAGGATTTTTGGTTTTCGGTTTGCATTGGGGCGCAGCGATATCTCAATTAAAATACAAAAAATTTTAAACATAATAATTTAAAGTGTGAAAAACTTTGATAAACATTCAAAAAATATATGCATAATATATATATTAACTCTAGAATAATTAAATAAATTGATAATTTAAAAAAATTTTTCCTAACTTTGTACATATTCTGTATTTTTTCTTAAATACAAATTTTTAATTATTTATTGCTGTAGATTTTCTTAGATACTAAATTTTAATAATTTAATTAATGATTTGTATTAAAAATTATGTAAAAAATGTAGATTAACTAGAATATAATTATTATTTATGGAAAAATGTATTTGTAACGCCTGTTATACATAACACCCCTTTAAAAAAAATGAAAAAAGTTATAATACATCAACATATAATAATAAAAGTAATAAAATTAAATGTATTTTTACCTGTTCTGCAAGATTAATTAAGATGACAAGAGTGCTTTTAAATATCATTTGTGATTTATTTGACAAAAACCATTTTTTTTATTAAGTGATTGGCAAAGAAATTTAATCATATATTACCAAATTTTCAATTTTTGATAAAGCAAAATTTCTTTTTTTGGATTTGTATAATATAAATTGACCAATAAAAGTGCATCTCTTTAGGATGTTACAGATAAGACGTGTAATAGAGCGTTACTATTAAGTTAATCCATTATTTATTATATAAAAAAGATTTAGCTAATTAATAAAAACCTATCAAATATGTAATAATTTTTAAGTTATTAAACTATATCATAATTTAGAAAAAAAAAATATTAAAACTTAATCATTTAAATATATTCTTATAGTAAAAAAAAAAAAAAAAAAAAAAAAATATTAGATAATATTTGTTTTTGAAATTTCATCTTAATCCCATAATTCCAATATATATCAATATTTGATATTTTTAAGCTGGTTTTAATGTATTTTATATAGTTTTCTTAGTATAAAGATTAGGTTAAGAAAATGTTAAAATAGAATTATAAATATATATAATCTTTTGATTGTAATTAGATATAGTTTAAATAAGTATTATATTTGATAATACTCCTTATAATATTATATTTTATAGCTCTTAAAGGATCTATTTTGCTAATTTGATAAAAAAAAAAGAAATTTTAAACCTAAAGAATCCTTGCCTAGAGATTAGAATCAATTCTAAAAAGTATAATCAATTAAAAAATTGATTAATTGTAATTAATCAAATCTTCAGATTTAATTATAAGATTTGATTTTTGATTTTAAAATAATTAATTTTAATCAAATTTATTTTTATAAAAAATGATTTTGATCTCAAAACTAGATATTAGCATTTTTATTAATTGATTCTGATTTATTTTATGATTTATAGTTAATTTCATAATTTATAACCATTAATAATTTTTCAGTCACATTTAGTCACAAATATTTTATAGTAATTTTATTATAAAATATTTTTAGTCGCATTCAGTCACAATTTATTAGTAGTTCATGAATTATAAAATTTAGCTGTAATAAGACTTAATTAATGTTTTTTATATATTTTAAGTAGATTTTTCAGAATTTTTTTTTAGTTAAGAATCTCAATATATGATTTTTTAGTTTAATTTTATTTTTGTTTACATTTTCAATTTTTATCAATTTTTTTATCTTTTTTTCTCAAATAAGCAAAACATCATTTAATTTTACACTTAACTTTTTATGTTATACTTATTAATAATAAAATAGATGCAATTTTTTATTCAATTTTTGATTAATTCTATTTGATAGAATCAATTTAAATCTTATTTTTACTAATATAAATATAATCAATAGTTAAATTTATAACTGATAACTATTAATCTAAATAGAAATAAAATCACAATATTTATTATATTATTTTTTTTTAATATATCAATTATTTTTTAATTAATAAATAATAATTTATTAGAATCTTAAACATCTCTTAAATAGATCATATAGGCAATTTTAGGGTAATTATTTCACACTAATCAAATAATAATAAATAGAAAACCAATTAGATTAAATTTAAATTATAGATTTGATCTAATTAGTCTACTATTTTTTTTTGTTCTCTTTTAATTAATTAATTCTAATTGATAATGAAAAATGATGCAGAAAGTGAATATTAGGATTTCAATTAAGATATTATAAAAATATCAATAGGATTTTTCTTATTGATATCAATATATTAATATATAGATTTAATTAAATTATCAATAAAAATA